TGTGGGGTCCAAGTTTCAGCTTGTCCTTATGGAATGCTGTTTTGGGAATGAATTCATCATGAGAGCACAGATTACTCCTGTCAGATTGAAGTTACAGGCACTAAACTATCAGTTTTCATAGAGAACAGTATAAAAGATGTGGTTCCTACACGTCTGAATAAGGGCCATATACAGCCTAATAAACGCAATTCTGTGGTCCGAGAGGATGAAGTCTCCCTGATTGACATGAATGAGGCCCTTGAGGAATCTAAGAATGATCAACCAAAACACAAAAAGGCTGCATGGCTTCCAATCAAAGGAGAAGAAACCGATCTGAACAGAGCCTTCTAGAGCTAATGAACAGCCTAGATTCCTTAAAGAATCAGAAGCAATCGGTCTAAACAAAACGCCAACACAATGACACTAAGCAAGCACCTCGGTCACTGCCAGGTTGTTAGCTTAGCAGCTCTTGATCCAGACCTCATATTGCTGTTTGGTTAAGCAGCATGAACTAGAGCAGGCATGAATGGCAGAGAGACAGTTGGATGCTTAAGAATGAGCCTTGTAAGGCTGAGATTTACCAAGGATACCGCAGGGTTCTTCTCATTCTGTCTGATGAGTTCCTTCCAAGGCTGATCCAAAAAGAAAAGAGTTAGGTGGGATTCCCTCTCCTGTTGTTTGCTAGGAAACGCATGCAAATGCACACCAGAGGCTTTGAGACAAAGAGGTCCCTTGAAGCATTCACCTTTGACAAGCAACAGTGGCATTGGAGGAGGGGGGAGAAGATACGAGCCTTACAGACTGGTTATACCATCTCTGAAAATCACTCCTGTCAGACACATGTATAAAGAAGTGCAGTACTTCCTCAGGAATGGAAATCCCATTCTATCCTAAATTCTAAGTCCAGGAACGACTGGAACTAAACCCAGAGCTGCATGCTCACCACCAAAGGTGGGACAAGACTCCATCTTCTGGTATGGGCAACAGGAAAGAAGCAGATGCTATCCTTTCTCCTGTTACAAATTGTCTACAGTGGAGCTATGACTGCATCAGATAATGTTTTAAACTTATTTTTTGTACAGAACAGCAGGAGAATTTGTGGGGAACCCAAAGATTATTCCCTTCCTCCAATCTTCCTTAAAAACAACCTCCCCAAATCCTTGAATTCCTTCTGGATGCCAATCATCCAGCAAGACTGCAATCATCCTGTTCTTCTCCTCCTTCCAGGCTTGGCAGGTTAGCTCCCTGTGCTAGTCTCTACCTTAAAATGACTATTGCTATCCTCAGTAAGTTTGTTTGGAACTCGTGTGTTTGTAAATAAAGAGCTTTCCAGGTCTCTGTGGGTGTTAAGCTAAAAGGAAAACACACAGAGAGCTTTTGAAACCTCTAATGAGGCAGCATCCCTCTGCTGCCTTTCATCCTGCATTTCACAAGATCCCCGAGCACCCTGCAGATGCAACCGCAGAGCTGCTCTCCCAGTCCTGGGGTGGAACGTGGCCGCTCAGGACATAGTGCATCCCTCCAGCTCTTCATCCTGCTGGGCTCTCACTTCTGCTCTGCCACCCCGTGGCTGTTCAGCTGCAGAGCTCTGGCAAGCAGAAGTGCCTCCTGCCCAGAAAGAGGCTTCTTGTACGCACCAAGAACTCTCCAGCGTGGATGGATCATTTTTCCCCAGTCAGGTACTTCCAACCAGTTAACACAATTGGTAGGATTTAAGGACAAGCGCTGTTTTCAATTGAGACACACCAAGAAAGGACACGGGTACTTCAGGGTCTGGTCAACAAGTTGGGAGTTAACTGCTCTGCCGAGGCCATTAAATACATTTAAAGTGTTTAACAGCAACATCCTTTAATGGGCTGCAGGCTGGATTCAAGCTCTTCCTTCGGGATGCCAGTGCAGAGCTGGGATTCAGGCGGGGAGATGTCGCTTTGATTCCAAGTGAAGGATGCCACCTACTGAACCCTGCTACGGCACCGCACGCTTCCATCCTCACTGCTCCAGCCCCCGAGCAGGAGCACAAGCCCGCCTGCAGCCCCCAAATAAATTCCAAAGAGAAGCAGAAAACAGGCTTGTAAAACCAAAGCTTTCCTCACTGCCGGCCTCCCCGCAACCCGAAGATGTGTTATTCACCAAACATCTGCACAGCCACAATTATTCCTAGCTTCGCAATGCTGACAACCTTAGTATTAAAAAGCCTCTTTTACATCTTTATTCCATTCTGGATTCATTAGAGCACAGCCTGACAATACACACTAGCACAGTGCATTCTGCAGCACTTAACCCCTGTTCCCAGTTGCTGTTCCTAACTCCTAGCTTAATGACACAGAGTCAGTAGATCACAATATGACCCTGTTAATATTTTTTTAATGCCATTTTTACAAATTACAGCATAATGCACTGATTACGAGGATGAAAGGAAAGTCTCCACGTCTGTCTGGAAACCAACTAAAAGAATGTCTGAACATCTGTTCATCCTACAAATGTCTTTAAAAGCTTTGATTTTCCCATAATCATTTTGTTCCACCATTTCACCCTTTTTCAAATGTGTATCCAACAGCCTCAGGACAGCAGCCAGAGATCTGCAGGAATAGCACATTATAATCAAAGTTCCTGGGCATGTTCAAGTTCTCCTTTTGGAATTAAAAATGGGGGGAAATACAAAACCAAACCCCAGTTTTCAACAGCTACTTCTGCAGCTGCCTGACCTATACAAACCTCTGCTGGGGAACAAAATGAAAGGATGGGGCTCTGCGTGGAGGATGACAAGGCACAAGGACAGGGTAAGGCAGCGGTGAGGGGACTCGCATGAGGCTCCCTCCCTTGAATTACCCCAAGCAAACAAACCCACCCTGGGACCCTCAGTTCTACGAGAGCCTTCAGCCAAGCAAGGGCTGCAAAACTAAGTTTTCAGAACTGATGAGTTTTCAAACAGATAAGGCTCCAGAACTGAACCTGCTATGGGCAATGCAGAGTAGAGGGGAGAAACCAGACAGTGCTTTGTAAATACACACACCAGCAGTTATGCTGACAGCCTCCTCTCCAGAACTGGGCAAAAATGCCTTAGAAATAACAAAGACAAAAACCTGTATGTCACCAACTCCAAAGCCAGCGCTATCTGACACCAGGACACCTCTTCCAATGACTTTCCAGAACTCCAACCAGAAGGGGCAGAATGTAGTGACCCATTAAACTGTGACGTTAGAATTATACAGATAAAAGTGTAAATTCCTTAATTATTCATTTTTGAGAGGTTTTTTTCCTTCAATTAGAAGTCTCTTTACACCATTAATTCTTAGACAAACCTGGGATGGCAATAACAGCATTCCTCCTAAGTCACCTGCTTCTCTAGCTTCCATCACTGCAGCATTTTGAACAGAGGTAACAGTATAGGGCACAGGACTTGATATAGATGTAGAAGACAGAAACATAATAAATATCCTTTACAAAGACTGCCTATGGGGGTCCCTGGGGAGAGGAGAGAAATGGGAAGGAGAGGTGGTGGTGGGGTGAGATGCTTTTTGTCATTACAGAAGGATACATTTTCCAGCAAAGCTGGCAGCACAAGTCACGTTAAGCCATAGCTGAAGTTGCCTGCCTAATTCCTCTGGGATCACATGGAAAGCATACCCCATAATCTTAAGGGATGTGCTAAAGCTTTGCTGGGACTCACTCAGCAGAAACTGTTCGGGATTACTCCACAAAGCACTAATTCTGTTCTGATTTAAAGGGACACCATCAAACTAGTTTAGATACCAGACCTACGCCGCCTCACAACCGTCCAGCTGCAAATATCCTCTCAATAGCTGGTATTTTGCCATTTATATCCACTCAGGTTACCTGGAAATTAAAAGGAGAAGAAAGACTAAAAAAACCCATGATAACATGATGGACTTAGGCCCATCAACAGATATTTGGTAACACTGAGTGTTACTAATAGTGTAATAATATGGTTCATGAGTGCAGCAATCTATTACAGTTATTTACTTCCATGTGCAACTAGCGTGCTTACACTGTATGTGGGGTCCTCCTCCATGGCTGATCTCAGCAAATGGGTCACTGGCAGCTATTTAACAGCACCAAGCAGAAGTACTGTGTTCAAGGAGCAGGAAGTAACACCTCCCATGCACCAAGATAAGCCCAAGTTCTGATCCAGACTGCAGCTTTCATACCTGTAGAATTATTGTTGGTTTTCACATTAAGGTGTCCCATGCTTTGTAAGTAACAAAGAAGGGACATTACCAGTGCTCTCCTTTTTATGAACCCAGGACATGAAATCGAGAGGAAAAACTAAAGCATCCATGAAATCTCTATTAAACAACTAATAGTTTCTAAAGCATCTTGGAGATGTTCATTTTACAAGGCTTATGCTGCAATCTTCTATCATTGTTTTAATGAAATAAAGCCCTTGACTATTTCCAGAGGCAACTTTTTCTTTCACGCATAAAAGATTTTGGTTACAAAAAAAAAACACACAAAAAAAGAAAACAATTCTGGAATAGGATTCACTGCAGAACAGGCAGGAAATTCTGAAAAGCCACATAAAATGTCACCGGAGATCAGTTCTGAACCTTTGGAACAGCAACGAGAACAATTAAGACCCTTGGTAACATACATCGTGTTGTTTAATATGAAAAACATTGAGATATAAATCATTTATTAAACACATCCATACCATCTCTCAGATAGCATCTTACACAGCTGCAGCTGAAGGAACGTGAAACATCCACTTTACATTTCACCTACTCTACCGTGTGCTTTCTGTGTCCCACTTTCCTCGGGGAAGGAAATCTACAACCATCTGCTTTGCTTTGCAGGTCCCATGAAATTCACATCTCCAGTAGGTTTAGATTAGTATCAGTGGCAAACTTTTAAATCAAGAGAAGCTTCCAATCAGTTCTCCAAACACCGCTATCGGAACACAGAGCCCCGGACGCGCTCAGCGGGCAGGGAGCGCTCTGAGAGCCTGTTACAGGTTCACATGGCAGAGGTGACAGAATGAGCAGGTTCTAACAGAGCAAAACAAACATTCCACCTGAGATTCATTGCAGAGTCTGATCTTTCACGTGATCAGAGGCTGCTCTTACTTTCTCAGGACTGAATCATCTTCTTCTGCGTGTCAAAGACATATCTTTTAAACAGAAGAGAGATGGTAATGGGTTGGACTGAGTCATTCTTGCTGCTTTCATCCTCTTTGATTGCATCCCCCTTCCCTGCCTTAGATTTCTTCTTGGAGGCAGTGGTAAGAAGAGTCTTGGTTTCTGGCTTCAGCCCATCTGTAAAACACAAGGACACACATGACAAACTCACTCAACGTCACATTTCAGTGTAACTGGAAAAATGAACAGGCAAGTTGGCTTCTGAAGTCAAACAAGAGAAACAAGAACTTGAGTTTGCATTAGGAAAACCACATTTCTGCACCACACATGTGGAATACGGGAACTCGCATGAAGAATCAGAAGCCTTCAAACACAGTTATTAGGTAGATTGAGATGAGCTCTTAGGCAGAAGCTCTTCCCTGTGGGGGTGCTGAGGTGCTGGTACAGGGCGCCCAGAAAAGCTGTGGCTGCCCCATCCCTGCCAGTGTTCAAGGCCAGGTTGGACACAGGGGCTTGGAGCAAGCTGCTCTAGTGGAAGGGGTCCCTGCCCGTGGCAGGGGTTGGAGCTGGAGGAGCTATACGGTACCTGAACCATTCCACTATAATTCACAAAAGGGATGCCTCAAATCCAGAGCAGTATTCTGGCTGTATCCTTCTGCAGCTTTTGAAGTGTTAAATACAGGCCAAATTTAAACAAGCCAGAGCAACTTGCCTTGTCTAATCCTTTTACTAGTAGACCCTTCCTATTATTTACACACACCTCTCAAAAGTTCCTTCTCATCACTAAGAATATTCATAAAAATATAAGTCAGGAATGAAACCAAGTGGTCAAATACTAAAATTATAGAGTCCCAAGAGTCAGAAGGTTCTTGAATTTCCATAGTCTATTCCCCATCAAAAGCACACTGCTTCTGTTTTAACACATTACAGAGATCTGTGTGTGTTTGGGGTTTTTGTTGTTCCCTAAAATATGCTATTTGCTGTTAAAAGTTTCCCTGTCACTGCTTAGGGGAACCAGAATCAACCTGTGTAAGATTCTAGGGATCTGACTTAAGTCTTTCTCCAAACATCAGCGCCAATCAAGGACACTTGTGCTTCCCTTCCTAAATACCAGGGTTTCTTACGCTTGGTAATGTCTTTTAACTCAACACACTGGTGGCATTCAGGCTGAGAAATGCAACACAGGAAAGCCCAAACAAACGCTGTAAACCAGGAGAGATGCAGCTCCTAAAAGACCACTCCTGAGGAACTGTTTTCTCAAAGCAGAAGTTAGGCAACTCCTTGGAAGCTCATCCAGCACCACGGGAATACACCGCGAGGCATTTGGCCAAATTCAGTTCAGGCATTTCTAACCTGTGGTGTCACATAACCTTATCTCAAACACTTCATCAGCTTCTCTCCCCTCATACTGAAACGCAGCCGTGGATTCTTGTATCACAGCCTGACAAAAAGATCGAGATGCTTATGATTTACTGGAGACAGGAGGTCTGCAGGCACAGGGACTTTGCTCCAGCCCAGCCCCATCCAGGGGCACCTGCAGGTGATCTTGGAGCCAGAGCCCAGATTTCCATCCTCCCTGCATCAGGCAGCAAAATCCTTCCAGGCAATGTTCACTGTGGAGGGGAGGGAGGAAACAGGGAAGTGCTGAAGCAATCCCAGGAAATGCCGATTTGCTGTTTCATAACCAGAGGTTTTAAACCAGCCCTAACACTGCAGAGCAGCCATGGGAGGTGTGGAGAGATCCCAGGGTCTTGATTTGTGGAAAATAAAGAGCACAAGAGGAAAAAAGCAAAAGCTTTTGTATACAACCAAATAAATCACAGTCTATGTAATGCTGTAGAAGTCCAGCATCAAGCACAACCAACTTTGTATTGTAGTGTTCTGCAAGACCTGACAGGCTGAGAGAGCTGGGCTGGGTCAGCCCAAACAAGAGAAGGCTCCTGAAGGGGAGACCTTAGAGCAGCTCCAGTGCCTAAAGGGGCTGCAGGAAACCTGGAGAGGGGCTTGGGACAAGGGCCTGCAGGGACAGGCCAAGGGGAATGGCTTGAACCTGCCCGAGGTGAGACTGAGCTGAGCTCTTAGGCAGAAGCTCTTCCCTGTGAGGGTGCTGAGGCGCTGGCACAGGGTGCCCAGAGAAGCTGTGGCTGCCCCATCCCTGGCAGTGTTCAAGGCCAGGTTGGACACAGGGGCTTGGAGCAAGCTGCTCCAGTGGAATTACCGCATCAGATCCGCTGCCCTCATTCTGCAAACAGATTCAGCACTGGCACCGTCCCCACCAAAGAGTGTTTTCTGTTCCCAGCCCCGGTGCCGGGCGGTCTGAGGGCTGGAGAGGTTCTGTGACCAGGAGCAGCAGAGGGACCAGGGACCCACAGGTTTCATCCCTCCACGGGTGTCTCGCGTTACACACAAGGCAGACTTCACACTGTACAAACCCAAGGAAATGAAGGCAAACAGATCTGTCACCAAAGAAGACATCAGACCCTTAATAGCTGAAATGACAGATATTTTTAGATGGAGGTCTAGTTTAACTTACATTAAGGGTCTAATCTCTCCTGAACAATGGCTGTGTTAGCTTGAACACATAGTGAGAAATCTGTTCCATTAATTAAGTGCTGCCTGTACTACTTGGATTTGTAGCAAATGTTAATAGAATTTTTTTCTTCTTCCTCTGTTGGACAATTACTTTATTTTGCCAAGTTGCTAATGGATTAAATTGAAAAGGTCTGTGTGTTAAAAAAAGACTTTAGCTTCAAAGTTCCAAGATACGCCTTGCATACAGCAGTGGAAAATACCTATACATTAATATTATTAATGGGAAGTCCTCAGAGGCGCATAAGATATCTCAAAGCTTAACAAATTCATTCCCACCCATGTCTGTAACAAGTAGTGCCCAGCCAGAGCTTATGCCAATGTACTTGTAGCATCAACTAACCCATGCTAGACGTGAAAAGCTAGTTGTAAAATAGCTTAATCCATTCTGTTCAACTACTGTTAATAATTAGCAAATAAGAATACAGGCTCTTAACAGAATATCCTTTTTCTCAGCGTGGCCTCAAGGATTTTGTCCAAATGGAACCATTTATAAATGAAAAAAAAAAAAAAAAAATAACAAAAAAAACCCCAAAAAAACAAACCAAAGTGAATTTTCAAATTCAAATGAATTCAAATTCCTCAGCAGGAAAAAGAATTCCCAAGTCTAGGAACAGTTTCACACACACAAAATAAAGGACAAAAGCAGTAACTTTTTACACTGTTTTCACAAATAGAAACTAGCTTCTTGGGGATCTGCAGTATCTTGAATGGTTCAATGCATTGCTGCCTCGAGTTTCACATGCCAGAAATCTTCATAGAAAAGCACAGATTTCAGTAACTTCCTATGGAAACATCACAATGGAGAATCCTGGACTCCTCCCTGTGTATAAATACAGGCTGGTCTCTGCTTTCTCTCCTACAGTCCAGCTCCTTCGTCCCTAACTCCCAATTCCACTTGATACCCTGCCTTTCAGGAATTTTCTCTCCTTCTCTCCTTTTCAACTTCAGTTTTGAGACTTCCCATCTCCATATTTTTATTTCCTATTTCCACAGACCTCTTCAATAGTTATATGGGAATAGACAGGAATATTTCTGTCTCCTTCAAAGCTAATGAAACGCTGTGTTTACATGGAAGATTCTCAAGGCAGACACATGTAAATGTGAAGGAAGATAACCCAGTATCTCCTCACAGCCCAGCCAGAGACAGGAGTAATTTCTGATCAAGTGATAAACACATCATTGAAAGCAGGTGGAATAACAGAGACACAGGGCAGGCTCTCCAGCACAGCCACCAAGAGTAATGTGTTCTGCTGAACAACTCCCTTTTCCTATGGACACCTGTAAAGAAACCCTATCACTACCCACGCCAGCCAGCACCGAGGAGGAGGAAGGCATTGGCATGGATGATTGCACAGATTTCTTACAGCAATATTATTAATGAGAACAAAAAAATCATGTTAAAAGATGTCAGGCCTCTGGATTGAGGAGATTTGATTCAGGTTTTTATTCAGGTTTGGATGGAAGGGACCTTAAAGCTCCTCCAGCTCCACCCCCTGCCACGGGCAGGGACCCCTTCCACTGGAGCAGCTTGCTCCAAGCCCCTGTGTCCAACCTGGCCTTAAACACTGCCAGGGATGGGGCAGCCACAGCTTCTCTGGGCACCCTGTGCCAGCGCCTCAGCACCCTCACAGGGAAGAGCTTCTGCCTAAGGGCTCATCTCAGACTCTACTTCCTTTGAACAGTGCAGGTAGAACACTCACCTACCTGCAAACTTGCTTCCTGTCAACATTCAAATCTTAAAAACTGAACATCAGAGAACAAGTTAACATCACACATTTGATGTTGGAAATAAATTTTATCCAAGGGAAATGTAACCTTCTAATACCATAGACAAACATTTTCTTTCTTCCTAGCAAATAAAAGAGCAAGCAAAACTTGAAAGAGGCAAAGGGTTGGGGTAATCATCGCTCACAATGGATCATTCCTAACAGCTGGTTTTCACAATTTCAGGATTTCCTTAAACTCAGCCCTCAGAGGCTGAACCCCAATTACACATTTAAGGAACACAGGCTGCATTGATTCTCCTGCTAACAAGAGAGCACAAAATTCAGTGCCACTAGTTTCCAGCAGGATGAAGAACACCACTGATCCCCTAGTACACCAGCAGGCACACACTTGCTCTCCGCTTACTCCCAAAACATGTGTCAGGAGTTCTGCAATAAAGTTGTCATTAATCTGTGCTCTAAAGCCATGAAAAGCTCATGCTATTATCCCTCAAATAATGCTCTGGAGTTTCGATGCAAACAAAAAGCAGAAACATCCCAAAAATCAGAGGATCAATTTTCCCAGCCCCTCCTGCTACAGTTCTCTCTACAGCCACACAGGAAAGACTAGAGGAATAGGAAACAGAACATCCTTGAACTCTTTACGTTCAGTTATTAGGCAGAGACTCTGTTTCTCTTCTCCTCTGCTACAGATACCCAAATCCTACCTTTAGATTTTATTCAAGGCAGGCATTTTTATCCTTCAATATTCCAGCAAAACCCCTCCTGAGCTAATCAGAAGAATGACACATTTGGAAGCCTCCCAAAAACAGATGAGCTGTGTTACTCTGCCCATAAACACTGTAATAGGAGCATCAGCTA